AAGGGAATAAGACCCAATGTATTTTCTTCATAGGTTCAAATCCGTCCTTGGAATTTAAGCGATAGTGATTTTGTGATGGATGGTTCTCAGCCATTGGATCCCCGGAAAACAATTTTTGTTGGAGGTGTTCCTAGGCCACTAAGGGCTGGTAAGCAGAATATTAACAAATTTTGTTTTTTCAAAAAATCATTTAAATATACATTAGTCCATTCAGTAGGGAGTTGGTGGTTATTGTGTGCATGGTACTATAGGCCAGGGCAGGGGAAGATTCCTCCTATTCCAAGAGTTGGTGACTGCAGAATTCTGAGGCAAATTCTGAGAACCTTCCTTGAAACTCACAAGTCATTGGAGAATTGTGCAATTCTTTGTCTCATCTATCAGTATTAACACAGTAGATAACTCCAAGGAGACTCTATAAGAAGAATATGATTTCTTAAGTATAACTCTCCGTAATATGAGAATTTTGGGTCTGTTTATTTTATGTGTGTTGATTCTGGTATCTGAAGAAGAAACATGGAATATTTTTCTCTTTTATCTATATTTTGACCATTAACTAAAGTCGCACCTTAGATAAGTGAGTGATAAACTTCTGTTTATCAGGAACCAGAAATCTACCAAAAGATGTCATATAGGAACATAATTATAGATGTAAAAGCCTACTGTATATGCAAGTTATGTGGTACCATGTGCCATGTGAAATATCTTAATGATTCCATCACTGAGAACATCCTCTTCCAGCCTGGGAGATCTGTGTTAAAGAACTGTTCACACACATCACTTATAGAACACAATGACTGCTACAAAGAAAGACTACAGGGAATAGAAGAACATATAGCAAAGGAATGTGGTATAGTCTGGTATCTTGAGTATATTTGTATTTGAGCTGACACATAAAGATCGAACAGAAGGAGTGGGGTTGGGGCAATAGGGTTGTGAGGAGTGTGTGTCAGACAAAGGGAATCGCTTACTTAAAGGTCTTTAGTGAAGGGAAGCAGGGTGTCTTGGAAGGACTGAAAGAAACCCAGAGTGGCTGGCTTGGAATACGAGTGAGAGGGGAAGGACACAAGATGACATTGAAAAAATAAACAGGAATCAGATCATACAAATATAATAGGCTAATCTGATATTTATCCTCATAGCAAGGAGAAACCATTGAAGAATTTTTAAGCAAAGAAGAGACATTGTATTTCCAGTTTTGAAAGATCATTCTGGCTAGTCACTGGCTCATGGAGAGGGAAGCAAGGTTGAGAGTAGATAGGGGTAGACCAGTTTAGGACCCTGTTATTGCAGTCTAGGGAACAGACAGTGATGGCTTGGATTAGCAGTAGCAGGGGAGAAAGAGCCAAGTGAACATATGTCACAGATATTTATGAGGTTAATGCAAAGGCTGAATCTCAGTTTTCAGTCTTAGGCTATTAGGTGGATAGTGGTACCTTTTACTGAGACATACGGAACACTGGAGAAGGAGCAAGTTGAGAGGGAATGTTGTGGTCTTGGTTTTGAGCACAAGTTTGTGGCACCATTCAAAGCTCCCAAGCAGAAATATCAATTAAAGCATGTGGTATCTGGTATGTTCTTTTAAGAGAATCACTCTTTCTACTGTTTGAAAATAAATTGGGAGGGCAAGGGTCAAAAGCATAGAGAGAAGGCTGTTGCCACGAACCAGAAGAAAAATGACGTTAGCCTGAAACAGGGTATTAGTGATGGAGGTGGGGAGATTGGATTCTAGATACGTTTTGAAAATCAAGTTCACAGGATTGCGTGTGCAGTGGGAGAAAAGAAAACAGAAAGGATGAAGCCAAGGATCCTGACTTGGCAACTTCATCCTTTCCATTGTTTACTAACTGGGTCAGCAAAAACTCAGTGGAGCAGGTATAATGGGATGGGGGAAAATTATGAGTTCCATTTTTAACACACTGAATGTTGCAGTGTCTGTTAAACATCAATATGAATTACTCAGTTCAGTTGTATATGTGAGTCTGGAATCCAGGGGAGAAGTCTAGAATGGAGATATGAATGTAGGAGCTTGAAAACATATAGATGATATTTAAAGCCATGACACAGGATAAAGTCACCAAAGCCAGGAGTGTGGATAGAGGTGCAAGGACCGAAATTTAGGTTACTCTGACATTGCAAATAAAGGAGTTGAGGATAAACTATCAAGGAAGACTAAGAAAAATTTATCAGTGAGGTAGGAGGAGAATTAGTAGAATAATGTATCCTGGAAGCCAGATGGGGAAAATATTTCAAAGAGAAGGAAGGGATTAACTGTGTTCAATGCTGCTTACAGGTAGATTGGCCATTGTACTTGGCAGTGGGAAAGTGACCTTGGCATGAGAAATTAAAATGGAATCATGTTGGCGATAGTCTCATTAAAAAGGGTCGAATAAAGATGGAAGGAGAATAATTAGGAAGTACAGGAAAAATTTTTGAGGAATTTGGCTGTAAAGGGGAACAGAGAAATGAAGCAGTTGCTGAGAAGGAGAAATAGGATTATGAGAATTTTTTTTTTTAAATATGGGACAAATTACACTTGGGAATGATCCAGTATGAGTGGAAAACTAATGGTACAGAGAAGGGAAAGGGGAAAATTGCTGAAGCAATGTCCTTTCATAGTGAGAGCATGTGGGATGTAGAATACGAGTGAAAGTATTGGATTTAGAAAAGAACATGAAACTATTTCTCTATAGTAACCAGGACAGAAGACAGAATAGATAGTGGGATTAGTACTGGTAAGTGGGTAGGTGTAGTAGTGGTGAGTATAACTTTATATTTTTTTAAA